AATGCCCTGTTTGCAGAAGGGGCTTGCAAAGTAGGGGGTTGGCCCTCCAGCTGATCCGCTGGAGAGGTAAGTGCATGGTAGGCAGCCAGGACAAGGAAACAAACATCCGCTGCGGCTTCCCGAAGTGTTGGCTGCTGCAGCAGCTTTGCAGGGGACCTGTTCCCTTGCCTGGCTCCTACAGGGCAGCTGAAAGGGATTGGAAAGCAGCCCTCCTTCCCATGAGGCAGCTGCCCCGGGGTTTCCATCTTTGCTCCACCGGGCTGGAGGAGACTTCCTCGGCCTCCTCCTCCCTTCCCTTCCCCGGACCAGCTCTCCTGGCTCTGACTCAGATGAAGGGGATGCAGCCCCTCTGTGCTGCCCGGGCCCTGACGCTCAACCCCACCGTAAAAGGGGAAATCCTTGTCCGCCCAGCTCCCTTGTGCACAGGGTTGGAGGGGATCTCCTGTCTACCCCTAAAGCTCCCAGATTCCTGCCTCTTTCTAATGACATCAGGGCGCCTGTGGACTTGACCCCACCTCACCCCTGGCATCAAGCTCAGGGTCCCTTGGCCAGCGAGCTGCTTTTACCACCCGGAGCCGTGGGCCAAACAGCTTGAGCATGAGCGGCTGCCACCCAGACGCGGAGGCCTGGCCTCCGTGGTGAGCCGCTGCCATGTCTTCTGTTTCGACAGCTGCAAGGAAATTGGAAGACGATGTCTACATGTGTCAGCAATCACCAGGCAGCTAGTGCCCGAGGCGCTTTGTGTCCCCAGCACCTAGCGAAGTCCGGCAGCAGCTGGCTGGAACCGTGACAAATCACGGCTGCAAAAGACGGGGCTTGTTTCAATTAGCCCAGTTCTGTAGAGATGAGCCATTTCATAAGGTGCCGCCTCAAAGGGACCGAGCTGAAGCGATAGAATAAACACTGGGCAGCCACGCGGCTGGCAGCAACGTGCTCTCCACGCCGCGCCCTGCAAGCTCTCCCTGCCCCGTGCCCTCTCCCCTCGCCGCCGGGCCCTTTCCTCACCCCTCATCCTCCACACAAATCCTGGTTTCCATCAGTGCTTCTGTTTTGGCACCATCAGTCCTCCCAGAGCCGACTGCATGCAGCAGCCAGGAGCAAAGCCATGCGGGGTGCAGCCAGAGACAGGGAGGATCGCCGCGGCCCCAACTGGACGCAGCAGGGTTTTATGTAAGGATGGCTTTTGGTTCCTGTCTGGGCTGGGGCCCCAGGAGGGCCCCTGGGCATCTCTGTGCCCGGGCATGGATGCAAGGGGGTGCTGTGGTACAAGGGCAACCCCCAGCTTGGATTCCTGCTCACCCAACGTTTACCACCCAGGGCCTGGCAAAGGCAGCAGCTTTTCTAGCCAGAGATAGTCAACTGAGTTCACAGGCCATTAAAATCTACTGGATTCCTCCTAATCTCTTCATGTCACAGGTGTTAAGGACCCTGTCTGACGTTGCCCCAGTCGAGCAGCCTTTCTACTGCCAGGCTGCTGCTCCGGGTTTCGTCGCTCCTGTTTCACAGCCCTGCCGACGTTGTGAACTCATCCAATGAAGTGATACTCGTTTTTGCTCCGATCTTAAACTGAATAATGCAGCCCTAGGCCCCTGGCATATAGTTTCTTTTTCCCGGGAGAAAACTATGTGTTGTGTTATGTGGGATGGGGCATCACACCAGCAGCACCCTGCTTTTCAAAATCCTAGATCCGCCCATGTCTGTGCCTGTCCTGGGCACCCTCCCCTGGACCTCCTGGTTTCTACTGAGCTTAAAACTTTACGTCGAGTCCTGTCCGGTGGGAACTTGGGGGGTGGGGGTGGATGTACCAGGTAGCTTTGCCCACCTCATCCAGCTGCCTGAAAGCCCCCTATCCTCCTGCTTTGCACAGTCCTGCAGGCTGGGCCATATGTGCCGATGCCTGGGTCCAGCATCCAGCACACGGGCTCTGCAGCGGGGCACTGGAGCCTGGGACTGGACTGATGGCTGCGATGCTGCTCCAGGGGCATGGAGAAGAGGGGCAGGGGCAGGGGCGGCTTGGTGATGGCTCTGCATGCCCATGACGCTAATGTGAACTAGCAGCTTGGGTTTGCTTCCTGGCAGGCACCTCCGTGGGGTTTTATAGAGCACATCTGGAGGGGCCTGGACAGGCCCTCCTTGTCCCCGAGGGAGCACATGCAGTGAGAGGAGGGGTGTGGGGAAGCACCGGTGAGGACCGGGCCACCCCAGCGCTGAATGCCCAGCATGGTCTCCGTCTCACCCGTGCCAGGAACCACGGTGCTTTGAGGACATGGAAGTGGCCGTGCAACCCAGGAGATTCGTGAAAAGTGGGGGTGACTGTTGAGAGCCCCGGTCTTCCCTGCTTTCCTTGGAGAAGTTGCTTTTGAGAAGTCTGCCTGGAAACAGCCGTGCATTGCCACTCCTGCGGGAAGGGGCTGTCACCTTCCCCGCAGCTGGGGCTGTTGTGATGGCAGAGGAATGCAGACTATTTTTCGTCCTGATCCGCTACCATCCAGTCAAATCCTGCGCTGATCAAACCCACATTTGTTGTTTTGGACGCGGCCGAGTTCCTGCTTTGGGAAATCTCTCTGCTCACCTTTACTCCAACACAAACATCTCCTTAAACACGCTGTGTTTACCCGGAGCGAAAATGCCTGCTGCTTTCCTGCTGGATTTCTCCGTCGCCTTTTCTTTCATCATTATCTTCCTCCCTCTGTTTTCAGCAAGCCTCCCAAAATCCCTCCTTTAGGAGAAGATCCACCCTCACTCCCATATGCGTCTCCTCCATCATCTCACCACGTTTCACACGCCAGCATCTCTAACAATACCAAACTGCTCTTCCCTCATCCCAGGCAAGGTGTGGTTTAACCAGTCCGGTCCGTGCAGAGCTCGGGGATCTTCAATGCTGCGGCTTGGATGGGTTTCACTGTTAGTTTTATGGGAGGGCTCCAGCCCTTTCCCCAAATTGAAAAGGCTCAGTGTAAAACTTGCTGAAGAGTTTCTTCCCGTCCTTGTAACGGGAAAAGAAAGGATCCTGAGGAACTGGTAGATCACGGAGTGAAACTGGTAGATCAGTCGTGGTGAAAAAGACGCCGTGCGGATTTGGCTGCTGCTTCTCTTTGCTGGATGGTTTGTAGATCATCCCCACCCTCCTTCGGGGCAGCCGCTCTCCATCGATATTGGCTGGCTGGGTTAGGTCTGCTTATAAATTGCTAGAGAATGAGTTGCCTTGAGGGTTGTGGGTGATGTAAGTCACACGGGTGATTTCCCACCCCCTGGCCGGACCCCAGGCAACTTTTTCAACTGGAGAACGAAAAATAAACGAGGGCCCAATTCAACAGTGAGCAACAGTCAAATCATTCCTGGTACCAGATCTCAAAAGAGAGGGAAAAAAATCACGTGCTGGACCCAGTAAAGACTCTAGCAATGAGCAGCCGCAGCAGAAACATCGCTGCGTCCATCCCGACGCTCTCCTCGTGTCCCTCGGCCAGCTCAGGCGAAGGCACTTTCTGGCGCCTGCTTCAGACCGGTTGCGAGCCAAACTAATGCTTGTTAACAGGAACGGTGCACAGGCAGGACATGGGGGGTTTGGGTTCAAGCCCTGGCTCTTGCTGAGCAGCTTTGGGCAAGTTGTTAGATTGCCAGGGGATGATCGAGCTTTCCTGGCTTTGCCTCTCTAGATCTCAAGCTCCTCAGGGCAGCAGCTGGGCGTTGGGGCACAGCTGGCAAAGCCCGGGGTCTTTGCAAAACAGCCCCCAAAGGCGCAAGTGCAAAAAGCACGTCCAGAGGAAGCACTTGGAGGCAGGGGGAAGCCTCCTCTGCACACCCGTGGGTGTCGGCCGGAGGTGAGAGCTGGTCTCGGAGAGCGGCCAGGCCTGATAACGGGGGAGGAAAACAACAGCAAGCCGCACACAAGCCCGGCCGCTTTGAACAGCTCTGATTTGGAGTCGTTTTCCAGGCATTCGCTGTCCGCTTCGATTAAAGTTACAAAAGACACAGATCTGGGAAAAGGAGAAAGATAAAGGCCGGGCTTCTGCAGGGGGATGTTTCTGAGCTTCAGCCTGTCAAACGTGTGCGATTTACTTCTGGCCCAAGTGGTTTGGTTTGCAGCGGGGATGCACTTCCAGGCCCTCCCAGCACCGAGGGCAGGGTCAAGCAAAGGCAGGGCGGCTTGCTTTCGCGCCTGCCAGCATCAGGGATCCAAGGAGCAGATGCTTGAATAGTGGCCCCTGCTCCAGGCTTGGCAAGTGGATCAGGATCCGGTTTCGCTTTCTGCTGGGAGTCCAGAAACTGAAAGTGCAATTGGAAGAGATGAGGAGCGAGAAGCAGCTCCTGGGGCGCCTGAGACCTTGGCATGATGCACGGATGCGGGTCCAAGAGGAAATAGCAATGCTGGGATTGCTTCACCGTCTTCCATGGAGCCAGCGTGCCTGGCTCAGGCATCGCTCCCAAGTGCCGGCTCAAGCATCGGCCACGGCTCGCTGGAGGCTTCATGTTTTCAGTGCAGCTTTGTATCAGCTCCTACAAATAGAGGCCCAAATCTAGCAGGGAGAGCGCATGTGTTGCTTGAGCGTGCACCTAACAGGCACTCATGCCACGTGGGCCAGGTGTGGCCTCCAGACAGTTTGCACATGGAGTTACCTGGCAGGGCTAGTACGTGTGCTCACTACACAGGCAATGGTGTGCGCAGGTGTGCGTGCCCTGGAGCACCTCTGCCTCGTTCCCTCCTACTCTCCAGCCTGCGTCAAGGTGGATCAGATGAAGCTCTAGGCATCGTCCTCTGCTTTTCCCTTTCGTGTATTGTGTGCAGTCAATGGCACAAGCCTGGAAGATTTATTAGGCCTGGTGTATAAATATGCAAGCGCACGGGAACGAAGGCACGGAAGTGGGCATGAAACCCATCCCAGACCCCAGCAGCAGGGAGTTGCCAGTCTGAGCCATCCAGGGATAAAACTCTTCCTTCCCCAGCGCTCACTGAGCCAGCTGGCCCTTCACAACAGAGCCCCCGCACAGGGGCCCTGGGCAGCCCTGAGCCACTGGCACTTCGAAGTGCCCCTGCCAGCCCCTGCTGAGCAGTCACAGTTGCCCAGGGTCCTGGGGGTAGCAGGGCCATGGAGGAGTGACCCTACTTGCAGCAAGTCCATCCTCTACCAGCTACTAAAGGTGCTTCACCAGTCCCCCCTCCAGCAAACAACGTGCCAGGTAATGGGAACATGGGCTGGGGACTCCTGACATCCCCTGGCAGCGTTGCCTTCAGGCCCAGCATTGCTCCCTGTCCCGGTGGCCCGGGGGGCAGTTGTGTTGGGCATGTGCTTACAGCTAGCAGAGGAAGTGGATCTTTGAAGACCCCTAATCCAGGAGATCCCTCTTATCAGTGCACCGTAGCTGCCTTCTGTAACACTAACCAGCTGTGTGACCTGCGGCGTTGCAGAGCCAAGGCAAGGCACGGAGAGGGGGATCAGGAGCCCAGGGTATGGTTTGACTTTGGTGCATTGCACAGTTATTGATTAGGGGAGCCCTGAAAGCTGGTGGGCTGAAACCCTTCTGCTAGGTCTCCGTGTCCTGATGAGAGGGGCTTCCATGTCTAGGTTGGGCTTGGGAGCTGGGAGAGGACTTGCCTTAAATTGGGAAAGGGCTTTATGTGCCGCAACATAATCCAGCCAACAGCTCTAGAAGCAGATGCAGAAGCATGTGCAGCTTGCATGGCGGCACGGGCATCCGTAGCCACGCGGCTCTGTGTTATCCATGCAGAAGCACGTGCAGTTTGCACGGCACCAGGGACATCCACGCTATCCATGCATGGGCCCGTAAACATGCAGATGCACACTCTTAGAGCCCTGATGTCTCCCTTCTCTTTCTTCCACACAGGCGTGCACATGCATGGGCAGAACATCCTGCTCTCATGCACATACATGCAGAGAAGGTTTTGCCTCCCCCCAGAGAGGTGCAGTTACATGTTCCTACAGGCTCTGCCACTCTCCCCCAGCACACAGGGATAGCAGGGAAGGGGGCATTGAGCCCTGGGAGGCCTGCCTCCAACCTTGCTTGTTTATGGAAAGAACTGCTGAGCCAGATGCTGAGAACCTGTATTTTACGGGTAATTTTTCAATTTATTTCCCATTGGCATTAAAAGAAGCTGCTCCCCCCACCCCACCCTGGCTCTTGGTTTTCTATGGCAGGACCTGAAGGCTTCTGAAATGAGCCCTTTGTTCCCTGAACCTTTAGCTCTTTGGCAAAGGATGTCGGGAGTAGGAGAAAGGAAGGAGAGAAAGGGAGGGCAAGGGAAGGGGAAAAAAGGGAGTGGGAGAAACTCCAGGGAAGAAAGGAGACAGCGAGGGCATGGCATGGCCCCAGGCCTGCACCCGCAGCTCCTGCTGAGTCTACCAGCAGCTCCCGAGACTGTAAAGAGCAAAGCTGAAGGGGTCGGATGCATCCAAAGGCCTTGTCTGCATGGCTGGGGAAAGGGAGCGATTTCCGTGGCACCGGCAACGTGGAAAGGAACTGCAGGGCCCCACGGGAATCAAGGACCTGGGTGGGCCCTGGTTTCTGGCAGGGCCTGGGCAGGGGTGGGTTAGGCTGGGGGGAGTCGCTGCAGCTCTGCGCAGCAGGTGAGCTGGTGCCCACGGGGGCTGGAAGCCACCTGTCCTCCCCGCTCAGGGGCCAAAGCCGGCCTGGACAGCCCTTTGCTGGGGATGCAGCCACTGGATCCACGTCCACTTGCTCCTGTGGCTGAGGACCTAACCCGCTCCCGATGCCCTGCTCTTCCCTGCAGGTTATGAGTAAACCCCTTCAAAATCGTTGCATCCTCCAGTGCCAGCCACCCATCTGAAGCCCGCCTCTGATAAGGGCTAAGCACGGTCCGGCGTCCTGCCCCACACCCGACATCTCCTCCAGAGCCCCGTCCAGCCTGAGCGACCCCGGCTGCGGGCCGTGCGCCGTCCCCTGCGTGCTCGGTGCATGCCCTTGCTCCTGCTGGAGCTTCTCCCGGACGTGGCAGATCCACCTCCCACCCAGGCGCTGGCCCCAGCCCAAAGCTGCTTAGCCCGAAAGAATGAAGGGGCCCTCCAGCAGCGCAAAGGGAGAGCACGAGAGGACGGAGCCGTTTCCACTGGGGCTGCTCCTCATCGCTCGGGATCAGGAACCCCAGGTGCGGAGGGGCACGGCCTTCAGGGCCACGCTCACGGCAGCTGGGGTGCCTGGAGAAGCGGATGCCGGGGCTGGGTGGTGGCATAAGGGGATTCCTCGTCCTTTTCTTTCTGTTCTGGGTGTTCGCTGCCCCCAGAGCCGCCGGTTTCCTGCAGCAAGTGTAGAGCGTGACACACAGATGTGCAAGCAGGATGCTCCCAGGGACAGGAAGCAGACCGCAAGCATGAGCGTGGATGGAGAAAACCCCGCTCCTTGATTCACACCCGTGCTGCATGGGCCAGGCGCATTCAATGGACAGAGACGCCTTTGCATTTATTGAATTTCATTATTAAATGCCTGTGGTTGGATGCCTACTGTGTTTCCACTGCCTTTTTCCTAAGAACCAGAGGGACTGCTGTTATTAAATATCCTGGCTGTGCTTGCTGGCTGGCTTCCTACGGCAGTGCTAGCCCTTCCCCAGGGGCCGACCTGAGCACCCCAAACAGCGGCAAGAGCCGGGCTTCGGTGTGCCACGCAGAGAGGGGAGGACAAGGGCAGGCGCGACCCACCAGCAGCACCTGCCCTTGGCCTGACTTTGCTGTTATTTCGGCCATGTCAGTCCTTATCTCTGGGGTGCGTGGGTTTCTTTATGGAGTTTGAGCGTGTGATGAAAAGTTTCTGACAAAGTTCACACACACATCTATAAATATATATATATCTATATTTGTGTGTGTGTGCATATATATATATAGATAGATAGATAGACAGACAGATAGATAGATAGATGTGTGTGTATAGATATATGTATATATCTATATGTATATATGTGTGTATATATCTAGGTATCTATATAGATATCTATATCTATATCAAAATATATTTAAAAAAAAAAATTCTCTCTGGCTATTTCACAGCAGCCTCAGTAGTCACAAATGCTTCCTGAGCGAGATGCTGGCTTGAACATCTGGAGGCGCCTCGGTGACTGCCACATTAATTGGGAGTACTGGAAGGAATGCTACATGTAGGCAGAGAGAAGAGTCATTTTTTTCTGGGAAACGCATCCTCTGGGGTGATATCAGTGAAGCCAGTTGCGCACATAGGAGCTGAACAAGAGTCTCAGGATGCAGCCTCTGCAGATTTCCCAGAAAAAATTCAAGGCTTGTGTGACATGCTCAAATCACCACCAGCCAGCCTGTCACACTCGTGTGAGAACGGCAGGGTTGGGCCCCCGTGCCTAGCTCCTGGATTTGGAGACGGGAGGCTATGACGGACAGGAGGTGGCGTGCACAGTGGGGGCCATCTTCCTCGGCACTTGCTCTCTCGTTTCCCTCTGTGAGATGGCCCAATGTGCCTCAGTCTAACTGAGCTCTGAAATGGGCAGCTTCGCGCTTCTCTGCAAACCTTCGAGGTGGGGTGCAACTGTCCACAGCCTGCCCCCACCCGCAGAGCTGGGCATCGGCTGGCATTGAGACACCCTGAGCCCAGAGCCCCTGGCCACCCCATGCTCTGGGGTGCCCCGAACCCAGGGCCTGACCTCACGACCAGTCCTGGCACGGGATGCCCTGAGCAGGTCCTGCCTTGGCCTTCCAGGGGTGATTCACAGCGAGCTCCTCTCTCCCATGTGACTCTCCCTCAATCCCTGCCTGCTCTGAGCATAAAAGATTAAGTATCTGGCCATTCACACGGCCTCACTGCACCTGCGCAGCAAAGCTCAGCCAGGCGGGGCAGAGACCCTGGCAGCTCCTCCTTAAAGCCTGGACATGGCTAGAGCAAGCCCAAGAGGTTGGTGCCAGTGGATAGCTCAAAAGAGACCCGCTAATTGGACTGCCAGCCCCCTAGACGGCTGCGACGGCACAAATAAAGCAGCTGAAAGGCATGCGGGGCATGCCGAAGGTTTACAGCTCCTGTTCAGAGATGGGGAAGGCCAGTCCCAGGCCCCCTTGGCTAGCAGAGCAATGCTTCTGGGAAGCCTAGCAGAAACACAGCTCATTTCCTGAAGGAGCCGCTGGCTTTTTGAGGACGCTTGAAAGACATCGGTGCTGAGCTTGGCAGAGGCTGCCCTGACGGGGAGGGATGCCCAAGGGGGGGGGGGTGGAAGAGGGCACGAGAAGGGTTAAAATCCCTTGCCTGGACCCAGCAGTGGCCACTGCAATGAACCTGGAGTCCGAGGCATGGCCGTGCAGCTCAGCCCTCATTTCCCAGCTAAGGTGGAGCCTGGAGCACGGGGAGTGGCAAACTCCAGCCAATTTGTTTGCAAGTTTGTTTGCTGCTGTTGTGGGTTTTTTTTTTCCGGAGGGGTGTGGGATTGGCTGGGGGGCGTGGGATCGGCATATAAAGCCCGGGCGCTCCGGAGCTGTCATCACTGCCGTGGCACCATGAGCCACCTCGTGGACTGAGCGCCACCCCGGTCTGCGCCCATGCCACCACGGCGCCCGGCTGCGTGACTGGCCCGCGGGATGGTGTGAGCCCCGTGTGCGCAGGGGCTGCGTGCGCTCTCTCCCTCGGCCGCCTTGCTCGCTCTGCGTCTGGCAGGAGGCACGCCAGCCGCCTGGATGATCTGATCCCTTTCCTGCCCTAAATTACTCCTGCCCAGATGCAGTGGATAATATTCATGTTCCTGTTATTCATCAACTCCATGGAAATGCTCACGCAGACCAGCTGGAGGAAGAGAGGTACGGCACGCCGGGGTTTGCTTTCTCGCCTAGGGCGAGCTTTGTGGGAGGGTTGCGGTGTTGCGGGGAGGGTGGCCCGTGGCCCTGAGAGATCCTGGCCTGGGGACGGGTTGGCAGGTGGGACCAGAGCGGCTACACGGCCAGCTGGACGCTGTCTTTCCTGGGGGGAATGGGGCAGTGAGGAAGGGGCTTTTCTCTTCTTGCTAGAACCGAGCTGGGGGAAACAGGAAGGTTGGCATCTCCCTCCATGCCGCAGCCCCTCTCGCTTCCCTTGACAGCCCCCTGGACCTGAGCTGGGTCTCAGCTGCAAAGCAGAGAAGGGGCTTTCCTCTTCCCCCCGGGCCTGGCTTGGTGTCAGCACCAGGGGTAGGACCTGATGTGCGGGGGGCTCCGGCTGGGTGCGGGAGATGGGCACGTTCGTGGATACCTTGCCGCCAGTGGCTGGAGGGCACAGGGTATGATCATGCCTGGGGGCATCCGGGGGAGGGCTGGGCCATGGCTCTGTCTGCAGCAGATGCTGGCATGTGGGGTGACATCTCAGCAGCTGTCCCTGGCGCTGCGGTTTGAGCCCTGCCACCATGCTGGGATCCGGCGGGGAAACGGGCTGCGAGCAAGCCCCGGGCAGAGGACTTCGGCTCTGCTCTTTCTAGCTGCTGCCATGAAAAATTTCCCCCCGGGGAAGCGCAGACCTGCTTAGCTAGAGCCTGCTCCACCTGCCTGCAGCCACGGCCAGGGGCAGGGAAGAAGGGACCCGCTTGGTAATGCAAAACAGCTTGTTTTTTCCCCACGCTGTGATGTGTCGGGGGGGCAGTGTCTTCACCAGAGCTAACCCAAGGCGGGTTGGGGATCACTGCGCATTCGTCTCACTGCTGGAAGCGACGAGACTGACCGCAGGGCCAGGCCCACGGACAGGAGAGCAGAGCCAGTGCCCTAGGCCAGGCGGGCGCCCTCGCTCCAGGTGACTTAGAAATAGGTTGAACGCCGGGCAACTAACGGCCCGTTTAGGACATCAGCCCCGTGGCTGCATGGGCTGAGAGCGGCTTTGCTGACCACGGAGACCTGAGCACCGCGCGCGGCTGGGTTAGTGTCCAAACTAGACCGAGACCCGCCGCACTGGGGCTGGGCAGGGCTGGGGGATCCACCTCGGGGCCGTCTTCTGCTCTGATTCTCGTACTTCGCCACCCCAGGACAAATGACTCTTCCCCCGGGGCCGCTGGCTCCCCAGCCTGGCAGAGCACGTGGCTGGCCCCCTGCTCTTGTCCACGAGGTGCTCTTTGCCGATGCTTCACCAACCATCTGGCACCCATGGGAGAGGGGCAGCAGCATGACCTCTCCACCAAGACCTGCTCAGCTGGGGCCTGGGACCTCATTCAGGAGAAGCACGGGCAAAAATAAGGCCCTGATGGAACAGGGCACTTGAACCGCTGCTGGGCTTTCCAGCCGTCACGTGCCGGAGAGCGCTGCAGAGTCAGAGCCAGAGTCCCCAGCGCTTTGCAGCCTCCCCAGGTCTCCGAGAAGGGGCACCTCTCCCCACTGCTCCCAAACAGCTGGAGGCTACCCAGGGAGTTTCTCTCCTCCCTCTTTCCAAGCAACACCTGCACTTCAGCAGCGCCTGGGGCAGTCATCGCGGGCCACGGGCCACGGGACCTCCACATGCGACCCAGGAGTGCCTGACTAGTCACAAACCACAACACTGATATTTACAGTGTCCCTCACTGCTCCCAATACACGTGCGCACAGATACCTGCAAATGTGCACACGCATACATGTCTCCCGGTGCAGGCAGCACGCATGCAACAGGCTTATAATGGTCCCTAAGTAGAGCTGATCCCCTTGCGCAGGGACCCCATGCTCCTCTCAGCCCCTCTGCACCCACCTCCCCAAAGAGCTGTCAAGAGAGAAGGAAAAGAGCCGCGTCCGGCAGAAATGGGGAGAGCCCAGGAGCCGGGCGCAACCCCGCGGGCCGTGCTGCGCTCCCTGCTGCAGCTGGAGGGATGCAAGTGTGGCTGGCATTTAGCAAGGAGGTAATGGAGACCAGAAGGGCTTAATAGATCCAAGGTGCCGTCTGAACTCAAGGCGAGCCAAGCCGTCAACAGAGACAGCCCGAGTGGATCCTTCCAGCTGCAAACACAGGCTGGCAGGAGCCCCGGCTGCCCGGAAAGAGGGCACGAGGGAGTGCGGGCAAAAGGGAAGGCAACCAGCACAGTGCACCATGCACGGGGGCTTTGGCCTCTCAGCCCCGATGCTTACCAGCTCCCTGGCTGCGCTAGGGCTTCAGCGGGGGACTGAGATCTTCTCTCACCGCCTCGCTAAGCAGCTGGAGCCCTTACCTCCACCTGGGGCTTTTCCACCCTCCCAGAGGGCAGGGTGTCAGGGCAGCCCAGCCCTCACCCCCACAGGGATGCTGTAGCTGGGGAGCGTCCTCCTGAGCTCCGGGCACTGGTAGCTGTGGTGCCCTCGTGTCTCCTGCTCTCCCTGTGCAGCAAGCAGTTGTGGGAGGAATTTGGGGCTTGGCCTTGAAGCCCTTTGCTTCGTCGCATGGGTTGTGGCTGGTAGCAAGTGGACAGGACGGTCCCCTGACCCTTTCTGGCCTTAGCCTCTCTTATGTGGCATCCTGTGATGGAAGGGCACTGGCCACGAAGGGGGTCTGCCAGTCCAGCAGGTCTGGATGCTGGTTGCAAGGAGCCTCCAGGCCTCTCACCCAGATGCAGCTGGGAGCAAGGTGCAGCCTGACAGAGGGCAATAGCAGCCGTGGGGCAGGCAGGGGCCAGCAGGCGCAGTGCATCCAGGAGGGGAAGGTCTCTTGCAGAAATGCGGCTGGACTGGCACCCTTGGGGCATCCTTTAGCAGGGTCCTTGACATGCCCAAGCCCCCTCCGGGCTACGTAGCTTGCAGGTTCTGCGGGGCAGGGGCTGAGTTCTCACGGTGCCCGGCTCAGCAGGGCTCAGCTGGTGCAGCCACAATACCCGTGATTGACACCGCGTGGCTGGGCAGCGGGGCGGGGGAGCGTGCATACAGTGCACGTGCCCCGAGTCCAACAGGCTCGTGGTGGGCATGGGATCTCCTTCCCGGAGCCGGCCCTGTGACCCCTGGCTGTGCTCGGTGTCCTGGGGCCTGCGGGCAGCTCTGTGCATTGATCTGGCTGCAGACGTTGTGGTGGGGAGTGGCTGAGACCCAGGCTTTGGGCACCGTGCTGCGAACCACACAGGCAGAGGTAGCAAACGTGGCTCGTTCTCAGAGATGCTCTTCAGGAACGCAGCCTGGCACCTGCCTCGACTGTCATTCCTCACCAGTTTCAATGCACACACTATGGGCTCTGCAGCCTGGCAGAGCCGCCGGGCTGGCTTTTGGGGGCAGCTGGTTTGAGTGTGGGGTGCCTGTGGGGTTTTGCAGCTCCCACTGCTCCGCAGACCTGCAATCAGGCCTCCCCCAGCCCCAGGGCTCTGGGCCTCCATTGAGCCTTTCTCCGGCTTTGGTCATGCGTGGTGAGGCCATTAGCAGCTGGAATCTGGCACAGCTGCGTGCTGCAAAGCAGAAGCTGTCATTAAACAATATGAAGCCTCTGCCCGTTGTGCTGGCAGCTCCAGGAGAAGTCTTCCAGATGTGCCGGGCTGTGCCGGCTGGCCGCGTTGCTAAGAGGTGCACTGCTCTGCGCCCGGGCCAGGGCCTCCCTTTTCATACTGCTAGCAATGCCCTGATGGGTCGTCGGATCAGAAACACCCAGGCCCTGTGGATGGAGACTAGATGGGACGGCATCGCCGGGCTGTCCCCACCCAAGCTGGAGTGGAGTAGCATCTGGCTGCTGGAGAGCTGCAGGGCCCGAGCGGTTCTTTCACACCTCCTTGTGCCCTCGTTCACCTTCGTCCACCAACCTGGGCACTTTGCCCTGGTACAGCCAGAAGATGAAGGGCCAGGCACCCACGTCCGAGAGCCCAGCCACGGCACAGCCCGAAGGGCCCTGCCAACTCAGAGGCCGGGGATTAACAGGCGTCCAGCTGGGGTGACGAGCCCTGCAGAAGCGCAGCACCTGCGCGGTGCGGCGCAGGGGACGGGGCTGCCTCTCAGCCCCCGGAATATTTTCCCAAGTGTTCTTTATTTTCTCTGACATTTAGCAGGCTGGGGCTAATTGTTCCAGGTCAGGGCATATTTTTAACCGCTAACTGATCCTTGATTTCACTTTGGTCTGGGATAATTGCCGCTGTTGTTTAAGAAGCTCAAGATGCCTCCCACATGGACGGCATTACTGGGAATTACCGGACTAGGCTCCTGACTCACGGCAGGGCCAATCCAGCCGCCTGCGCTGGGGCCGAGTTGGCGCTGGACTCCCCTGGACGCTGGGCCTGTGCATGGGGGCTTGGGCCTGAGGCTGGGCATAAGCAGCTCCATCACGCTCGAAGCTCAGGGACCGCCCGCGGGCTAGATTAAAAGACTCACGCGATTTGCAGCAAAACGTAAATGCCGCCTGATATTAGCTACCCACTTCTACACCCAACGCCCGAGATGCCCCTTGTAGCTGGTGTTATAGAGCCGGGCAGCACGGAGACCGTAGTGACCGGTCTTATTCGGGTATCTCCTGCCTTTGTTTCGGGAGTCTTGGATACGGAGAGTCCCATCCCCAGGAGACAGGTCTGGCAGCTGCTGCCAGCCTGGGTCTGTGCGTGGGGTGTCGGGGGGCACGGAGGACATTGTGAAGGGCAACGGGAGCACTGCTAAGGGAACAGCCGCTTTCGCGCCTGGCCCCGGGCACCCTCATCCGAGGCAGCGTCTGGCTTTGTGAGCGTCGTTCGCGAGGGGAGAGTTAATGCAGGTCTCAGCTCAGTGGAGCTGGTGCAGCTGTGCTGACAAACCCGGGCACGGGCGCATCTCGGCACTGGGCAGCTCACCGGGGCAGTCTGGGCTCTGTCTTGCAGTGAGCACCGGCCTGTTTGAGAACTGCACGGGCTGCATCCTGTGCTCGGAGGACAACGGCTGCATGGCCTGCCAGCAGCGCCTCTTCCTGCTCATCTGGAGGAAGGGCATCCGCCAGTACGGCGCCTGCGTCCACACCTGCCCGCCCGGCTACTTCGGCGTGCGGGGCCAAGAGGTCAACAGATGCACAAGTACGTGCCACGACACCCTGTCCCCTTCCAGCTCGGGGAGGGGGGTGGGGGGCACAGGACTCAGCTCTACCCACAGATCCCACTGGGCATCCCAGCTATCGGGGCTCCCAGTGCACTGAGCACCCCAAAAGGGGAATAATTCAGGGGTTCTCCTCTGACTGTTTCAAACAGCCATGCTGCAAGGGAAGCAGTGCTGCAGTGGGCTCTGGGGAAGCAGGCTGCAAGCCTGGACTCCTGGGGTCTTTTCCCCCTGAGCTCCTGTGCAATGGCTTGCGTCCCCCCTGGACAGGGGGCTGTGATTCCTCCCTGGCTGGGAGGCAGCTGGCGAGTGCCCATGATGGCATGCACGGGGCTGCGTGCTCCTGGCAGGGTCTGCACTCACCCCCCTACCCCTTCCCTCCCGGCAGAGTGCACGTCACCCAGCTGCGAGAGCTGCTTCAGCAAGGACTTCTGCATGAAGTGCAAGGAGAGGTTCTACCTGCACAAGGGCAAGTGCCTGAGCACATGTCCACCGAGCACCACGGCCCAGCCCAGCACCCGGGAGTGCCAGGGTAACTAAGCACCACGCCCTCTGCCCTGACCCACGCCTCTCCCCGGGGCTCTCCCCTCTTGGTTGGGAACATCCTGCACCCTATAGAGGGTCCCAGACCTGCTCCATGCCCACTGATAGCCACGATGCAAGGGTTCAAGCTCCCTGGGGCTCACCCCCATCCCCAGTGCCAAGCCCCTGACCCCCGTCCAGGCACACTCGAGCCATGCCCTGATGAGGCGTTGGGGGATGCAGTGCTGCAGCCCCACTGTTCTCATGGCCCCCTGATCTCCCCACCAGAGGCATGCGAGCTGGGCCCCTGGAGCGAGTGGAGCACGTGCACCAACGAGGGCCGCACCTGCGGCTGCAAGTGGGGCCTGGAGACGCGGGCCCGCAGCATGCTGGGGGGCCCCAAGGAGGAAGAGGAGGAGGCGGTGGTGGCGTGCCCGGGTTTGCTGGAGTCCCGCAAGTGCCGGATGAGGAAGCACTGCCCTGGAGGTGAGGGGGCTGGGAGCGGGTGGGCAGCTGGTGGGCAGTAGCAGGCATTGCAGGGAGATGCTTGCTCCACCCTTGCTTTTTGTGCATGGGGTGTGGAGGGAGGGAGCATGAGGGCTGAGCAAACCCACCCCGGTGGGAGACACTGGTCCTGCCCGGAGAAACCAGGGCCGAAGCAGACCAGGTGGAGACGGGGGTTGCTGTCCTGGTTTTACAGAGCCTGTCTGGTGCTTGGTGCTCACTCCCATGGGGGCAAAGCCATGGGCCAGGGGGTTGCACCACTCTGTGTGTTGCAGGGAGTCAGCCCAGGCCTCGCCGGGCCCCAGCATCCCTGGGGCAGACCCTGGAAACTCAGCACGCTCACTCCATCCCTGCCCCATGGCATTAATCAAGGTGGATGCCAGCCGTGACAGTCCCCGGGTGTTGGGAAGCCAGAGGGGAGCTGACATCACTCTTGGCCGCGACAGGCGCGGCTGTGACTGCTTTAATAAATATCGGCTTAATAACTGGCAGCAGCCCAACCTGGCGTGAGATATGGGTCTGCAGGCACTGGAAAGAGATCAGAGCGCCTGGCCCCAGCGTGGCCAGCATCCGAGGCGGGGTGCCGGGGCTCGTCACATGGAAAAGGCATTGCATAGGGTGCCAGGAGGGAAAGCCGGGGGGGGTGGCAGACAGACAGGGGGACGAGGAGAGAAAGGCTCGGCGGGGCAGAGATCTGGGGGCGAGGCCGTGCCGCGGCGCGTGAGCCAGCACGGAGGAATGCACGGCCCCGGAGCTGGGCAGCGGTCAGGGTTCGCGTGCTGCTACCGCATGCCTCTTAGTCACGGCCCTTGGGAGACGAGGAGCCGCCCTCTCCTCCCCGCCTCGAGGAGCTGCCCAAGGGGTCAGCAAGGAGACCCGGCGCGATGCCGGGCAGGGCGACGAGGGATCGGCTTTGCACCCGCTGGCACCCAGCACCAGCCACCCGAAGGGGGTGTCGGTGGGGAGCCTTCCCCAGCCCAGGGGGGGATGCTGGCTCCAGGCCCTGCTGCAGGGTGGAGGCCCTGGGCACAAGCCGGCAGCGATTTCCCCGTGGCTCCCCTCCAGCAGCGAGCGCGGCCCCTAACTGTGCCCTGGAGCGGAGCCTGCAGCGCGGATTCCTCTCGCATCCTGTCATCCGCATGGAGCAGGAGGCCAGGCTGCAACGAGCCGAGCAGCCACGGGCTCTTCCCCACCGTGGCGGGGACCCACGGTCCCAACCACGTGGATTTGGTGGAGGCAGCCTGAGCTGTGCCCGCAGGACCTTGGAGCCCAGGTGCAAGTGGCAATGGGGAGAGCTCAGCCACCGAAGCTGCTCGCACGGGGCAGCTGGAAGAACTGGTGGGGCACGGGCTCCTGCCCACGGGCTGAGCACGGATGCCATGACAGCCACCTTGCTGTTGGACTTGCCGCTCCGCGGGAGCCTGTGAGCTTAGGTCTGGACACAGAGGCTGCGGCTGCGGTCTCAGGAGTGCTGCAGAGCTACTGCTCTGCCCCAAACGGAGCCCAGGGTAGGTGCCACGAAGAGTCAGCTCCTGCCAGCAGCTGTCAGCCTGCTCGTGCATCCCCCGCCACGTCAGATGCTTGGCGTGTCCCCACCCCAGCTCAGGCAGGGCACGAGTCGCGCCCCCAAGCCAGATCCATGCTGCAGCGGCATCAACATGCACGTCGAGACGGCCGCCGGGAGCCTGCCCCTACTCAGCAGACACGGAGCAGCGGGCCCCGAAGGAGCGCTGGGCACGAGCACACAGCGCTTTGCCGGCACAGCTGGAGCCAAGCCCAGGCACTGCCAGCCGCGGAGGTGGAGGCATCGCCAGGACCACCGAGGCTCGGCACTGGCACGTGCACCGGTGTGGCACGCCACCGCGGGGCCTTGCCACCGCGTGTGCCAGCGCAGCAGTAGAGCCGTGTAGGGAGGGAGGCGATTCCCAAGGCCGCGTCCCTTGTTGCAACGGCTTTTGGCCCCAGAGGAGAGGGGAGAGCTTGGGCAGAGGTGACAGGCAGCCTGGGTGGCTCAGGGGGCATCATCTAACGAAGAGCACGTGCCAGGGGCATCTTTGCAGCAGCGTCCAGGCTGCAGCCGGAGTGCGGGAAACGCTGCCTCCAGCCAGGGTCACAGCCCGCGGCTGCCTATCAAGGAAAGCCAGCACGGAGCGGGCAGCAGCTGCTGGCTGGGAACGTGAGGGCCTCAGCATGGGAAGCACAGAGCAGCAAACACCTCCCGGGGAAGAACCCCCCTGCTTGGACAGACACAGACCTGGGCAGAGCTGTATTCATCGGACAGCCAAGGAGAGGTTGAAGACCTGCCCGAAGAGGCTCGGGAGGCATTGGGGTCAAGTGCAGCACTGCAATGGTCAGTCCAGGGGCTCTGGCACTTCCCTCCCCTGGGAGGTGCAAGCCAAAGGGAAGCCCCAGCGCCCACTGTGACCCAGGACTCGCACCCCGAGGAGCTCGACCTGTTTGGACTCGAGGTCCATCACGCTGCGGGCACTGGCTCCCACGGGGTCAGCACGGACGCCCACAACGCTGCGGGCCCTGGGCAGCTGCTGGGCATCCTCGTGGGACAGGAACCGGAGCTGTGACCCCCGGGGACGCATCGCTGCACGAGCAGAGACACGAGCGGTGACTGGGGTCGTGTGCCCAGGGCCCGGAGCTCTGGATCCCCCGGAGGGACGCCCCCAGACAGCAGCCCGCGGTGGGCTCAGGGCGGGAGCCGGGGGTGGCCTGGGGTGTGCCGAAGCCTGCTGCCAAGCACTCTGCGCTCCCATGTGTTCCCAATTGCCCGCATGCTGGAGTGCCAGGGGCGGCATGCCCAGCCGAAGCTCCAGGGTTGCTGGCAGGCGCCGCCCGTCCCACTGCTGGGACCTCAGGGGTTGCTGCAACATCCCCCTTCCTCCTCCCTGCGTGCGCCGCGCTCCCTTCCTTTCCTCTCTGCGGAGCCGGGAAGCAGCGAGGGGCTCCGGTGCGCTCTTCTCCCTGCCCGCCGGCTGTCCTCGGGGCGCGTGAGCCTGACCCCAGCGCGGGGGCGTCCGTGGGCTCTGGGCTCAGTGCGGCCCGGCAGGTCTGCTCCTAAGTACCCGTGTCCTGCGAGGAGGAGACCGATGTCCCCCCTGTGTGGAGCCAGGCTGGGCCTGGCACCCTCAGAAACGCCTACTTTTATGCCTCAGCTCTTTCCAGGGGTGCGGAGGGGTGTTCCCAGGTGACCAGAAGGAAAATGATGTGTGGTGCACACTCCTGTCTGCTCTGGGGGCAAAGCTTGCCTCCCCGGGGGGGGAAACTGAGGCACAGGAGGGTCTGCTAAACAGCGCTTCAGTAACTCCCCCGAAACCCCAAAGCAAGCCCATGGGGGACTGGAGCAGAGAGCCCAGGTGTCCCGGCAGGGCAAGTGAAGGGTGAGCCGGGGGCTCTCCGTCTCCTGCTCTAACCATTGGCCACGCTCCCCTCCCACAGCCCGAGCTCCCCAGTGCCGCGATCCGGGACGCCGCAGCCCTGACCCCGCTCTCGCTTTTGTGTTGCAGAGAAGAGCGAAGCCAGGAAGAGGGTGAAGAAGGCGAAGAAGCAGAAGAAGCAGAAGGAGAAGAAGGCAGACGTGCAGCTGGGCACCTAACGAGGGGGCACGCGTGTAGGAGGGGGCGCCCGGCTGGAGCCGCCCCCGCGGCCGGCTCTGCGCTAGCTCTCCCTGCTCCGTCCCTGCCAGAGACGCCCGCGCGCCCGTGCTGGACGGGGCAGGGCCTGCAAACTGTTTGCTCTGTAGAAATTCACCTTGCAATGCGGCTGCAGCAGTGACGTGGGGGCCCCGCTTCAGCTCCCCCAAGGTTGCTCCGCGCAGGGACCTCCCCGGGCACAGACCAGGCTGGGGGATGCCTACTCTGCTCCTGCTCGTGGCTGGCTCAGGGCACGGCAGAGCCCAGCAGCCTCCGGGAGATGCTCCAGGCCGGCAGCTGTCAGAAGTACCCAGCAGGACACTCGACGGACCCAGTGCCACCTCCAGCCCCTGGGGACTGCAGCAGGCCTGTGACGGACTGGGAAGGGAAAGCCCATCCTTCCTGGGCTGCAGCAGCATTTCCTCCCGCTTGGGACCCAGCCTGTGCAGACGGGCAGTGCCCGAGCAGGATGTGGTGCGGGATGCCGGGGGCTGCAAAGAGCTGCCCCTTGTGGGGGCATCCCGGGGGGAACGGTCGTGTGGTGAGAGCCGAGCAAAAGGAGGCCACGGGGCCTTCCTGGGCCGGGGCTCACGGCTGCAGGAGGGACGATGGATGAGCAGCCTCGAGGCCCCCCCGACAGTCAAGATCACGAGGAATCGCCGCCCCGGGGCAGCCCGCTCCCTGCTCCGGGCAGCTGGGCCGACCCCGATGCCCTGGGCAGAGCCGCTGCAGGCCCCGTGCCCCCTCCCTCGACCCCCTCCTGCTCCCCGACCCCCGCAGGGTGCCGGCACCATGCCGCGGTGCTGGCAGATGACGCGGTGTTGTCTCTGCAGTAACTATAGTGTCTATATGTGAAACCGAACCGCCGCTTGCGAGACAGTCGGGGCCCGTAAGGTGGCCTTTGGCTCGAGGGGCTGAGTTTGGTCTTAAGGTTAGTTCCTGGTTTGTTTG